CACATTTAAAGTTGTCATAGTGTGTTTGCCAAGAAAATTGAAGCAGACTGTAACTGTAAATCCAAGAAAGAGTTCGGACTACACATTGATGCCAAAATTCAAATAGCCGTGTGTCTCGACATATCTGGAACAAGATGAAAATTGAAGAATTGAAATGCACTATGTATTGCTCTGACATTCACAAAGGCAAGGCTTTCTGTGGATTTGTGGAAATAATTCTGCTAAATGGAATTCATAAATCACCATATAAGTCACAACCAAGAGCATGTAACATATGACCATTTTTAAGTGTGAGGGACTAATTAGCAATTAACAATCAAGGAAACTAACTAGAAACACAGGCAGGCAAAGCAGGTGGGCGGAGTTTATGCACATTTTAGGGTTGGTGATGTCACTAACCCTGGAGGAATGTTGTGTAGTCCTTACCAGCCATTTGTTGTAGTCCTTTTCTTTAAAAGCAAATACCTTCCTTTGCTTTGAACTTTGAGCGTTGTAACTTTGATAATGTTGTTTATGCTCAAACAGCAACATTACACACTAACTAAAGTTAGAAAAGTGAAATCATACTTTAACACCACTTTAAAAGATAATTGCGACTTTTTATCTCGCAATTGGCTTTATGCACAGCTTCACTACTTCCTGAACTTAAGCCAGCTCCTTGTTTCCTGTCTGCCATTAATGGACAAATTTGATTAATTCAGGTTGGTGTGACTACTGAGGTCAGGCACACCTGAATTAATCAAGTTCAGCCAATAATGGCAGACAGGAAACAAGGAGCTGGCTTAAGTTCAGGAAGTAGTGACTTTAGTTCTCAGAACTGCGAGATACATTATAAAGTTGCACTTGTGTGTTATAAAGTCAGAATTGCGAGATATAAACTTTTTTTCTCAGAATTGCAAGTTTATATCTCACAATTCTGACTTTATAACACACAATTTGAGACTTTATATCACGCAATTCTGAGAAATGTAAACTTGCAATTTTAAAGTCAGAATTGTGAGATAAAAAGTCACAATTACTTTTTTATTTTTAATTCTGTGGCAGAAACAAGCTTCCCTAGAAATCACATACTTCCCTACTATATAGTAGGTGAAAAACATTATGTAACAAAAAAAAAGTATGTCCGAATTCACTGTACTCATAAAAGAGTAGAAAGTGTGCAGAAGATAGACACTTTGCTATCCCATGAGGCCACAGGAGAAGATTTGTGAATGATAGTGAAGCGACGCAACTGACAGTGGCGTAGGTCACATGATAATGACAACATGGCGAATGTAGTACATCCAGATTACATTCATATACATGCACTCATACTATATAGAACATACATTAGTGGTCGTGAAGTCATCATTTACTCACCCTCATATCATTCCAAACCAACCAGTATGACTTTCTTTCTTTTGTGGAACATAAAATAGAATATTTTGAGAACAACAAAATGTAAAATTGATAGCGAATGCCATTTCATGTTTGACTATAAATGGTCAAGCATATAGTAAAAGAGAGAGAAAAGAAAGATTAGCTTGATCAAGATTCCTGTGCAAATGAAATGCAAGTATTCCAACAGCTTGGTTTATAACAAATCAAGCTGTTCAGATGCACATGCACAGCAGGGGAGACAAACGCAGGTAGCAGTCAAATAGGGAAAACAGAAGCAGTTCTATTCCAAGCATATGGCACAGAGGAGGAGAAAGCAGCGTGTTCTGTTCCCAGGGGTTTTCACCTTCTGAAGACTGCCTGCTCAGGAAGGTTGCTTAGGAGACAGAAGAAAAATGTCAAGCTGATTTCTTTTTTTTCCTCCTGTGTTGACACTTGTGGCAGATGTATGAAAAATTGCTTTCTCCACCACTTCCATCCCATGAGTGTAGCACATTACTGATGAAACGTACCTGTGCTTGGTCTTATTTTGCTTTCATTTATACAAGGACAATTTTTATCATTGTATATTGAGAAAGGAGGCATTTTGTAACTATACATGTCTTCATTGATGAGTTTAGGCAACTCTTAGCCTCAGTGTCATTTACATTTAGCAAACACTTTTGTACAAAGCAACTAAAGATGTGCATTTACTTTTTTATCAGTTCTTGCTTTCTTTGGGAATCGAACCCATGACCTTGGCGTTGCGAGCACCAACGCTCTACTGTTTGACCTACAGGAAAGCCTCTTCCTAGGCTCTTCATTAGAAAAGTCAACTTTTCTAAAGCGTTCAACTGTTAAAACAGATCACATTACCTCCACTATTAGAAATTCCATTGGTATCCGCCACTCATTTGCATAACTAAGGGCCGTTCACACTGGACCGGAATTTTCAAGTGACCGGAAGTGTCACGACACACAGGGGACAGAAGATCCAATTTGCAGATGTTTATTATAAAGGGCAATCCAAAATCGTAGTCTTCCAGGCAGGGGTCGAAATCCAAATAATCATACCAAACATGAAACCAACGCACAAACCAACTAGGAAACAGACCAACAAAGTTGTGCCATCTAACAACGAATCCATACACATACTAACACAGACAGGGAATAAATACACAGATCTAACAAGACTAACAATGAACAGCTGGGAACAATGATGACGGGAAACAGCTGAGTGCAATGAACTGATGAGTGACAGTGACAGACAGAATGCTGGGAAATGAAGTCAATAGTGAAGGACACCTTAAACACGAAGACCTCTAGTGACAAACAAGGGAACACAACCAGACACTGTGACAGCTAGTTTTCAATGGATGTTAAATGACTACAGTTGATAATGGATCAAAGTTTAGCAGAGATTAACGGTAATGCTAGGCGGCAATAATTAGCTTTTGTGCATGAGAAACATTCCAGACCAGGAAACATTTCCCAAACATTGTGATTCCTGTTTTAATACAATGTTGCATTGTACATTTTCTATACCTGATGTTTATGTGCCATATTTTCATTGTGAAATATAATATTTAGATTCATGTGATGCAACATCTGAAAAATAGTGCAAAACCATGACACTATCATTTAAACTGCCGACCGTCCATCTCTCTATAGAAATACACACTCACACACACATTAATAATTAGGTTGACTCTATGCAGGGCCAGCCCAAACTGCAGTAATTAGTATGCAGACTCACTGCTCTTCACAGCCTGTCATTAGAGAGGTGAGCTGTGGCATACACTCAGCCACATTTGATGCTTCCAACATATTAATCACTGCAACCATCAGGGAATTCTCACCCCGCTGAAAGGTAAACATCAGTGTAATTAATCCCCAAAAGCCCTGGCAAAGGCAAGTTGTGCTACTATGTCCACAGTGGATTATTTTAATTGGAACATTTGAACTTTCCCACTAAAATCAGTTAAATTTGTGATTTATCTATCTATCCATCCATCCATAGTTGGGTCAATGTCCTCACATAAGAACATCTCAGCACATGCATATAGACCAGCGGTGGCACAAACAAACATACTAGTATAGAATTATAGAATGTTTCTGTCTCTGGGTTGTTACTTCTGGAAAAAATGTTAAGAGATTTAGATGTATCCACATTTTGGCCTTCTGTCAGATATTCCTGCCAGTTCTGCAAAAGAAAGGAAAATAATAGCCGAGACAAAAACCGCTGAATACCCTAAATAAACCAAAGACTGCTTGTGGATGGACATTCACAGCGATTCAATGTGCAAATTAATTAAATATATCAAAATATCTTCCATTTTTATGAGTTTATTTCATATTTCCACAATCATCTGATGGTGGGACACATGGAATTCCATTTATCTGCACTACTCACACTATGGAACTTTCCATGTAGAAATGGAAACTTCCATAATTGAAATCCTGGAATATACGGTAACTTGATTCCTTTCTAGTAATCTACAGTTATGGTCTTTCTAACAAGTCTAAAGAACAGATATTTACAGGAAAAGAAATCATGAATTTTAAAAGGAAGTCTAGAAGCTTATTGAATAAGAACAGATCAGAGTACACATTTTATTTTGGCCCTATTATAAGTGCATGTCCTGCATTTTGGAAATATTTCTCAAGTGTGGCTTCAGTTGTTGTTCTGCTGTGGTGTCCCATAACACTAGCACTCACATGGTAATGACATCTAGTGTGCAGGAAAAGCATAATTGGCAGTTTTCAAGCATTGACGGGTCAAGTGACCACTGGCTGTCTTCTGGCACGACATGAGATTTAATTTAAGGGCCGACATTTCATTTTCAAAAACTGAATCTTAAGAACACTTACAGGGAAATGTTTTTGAGACTGCTGCAAGGGACAATTAACCCCCCAAAAAACCCTGCTTTCCCATTGCAATGTTGCTACTAAGAGGCAAGGGTATTGTGGATGGGCTACCTTGGTTGCTAAGATGTTCTGGGTCGTTTCTAGTTGGTTACTCACTGGCCCAAGTCAAAAGATATCGTCACGTTTATTTTTACACTTGATTTGTTATCCGTCAAATCAACTTAGATAATTTATGTGGTTCAGATAACATAATATTTTTAGTTTCTTATTATTAAATCAATTTCCTTCATTGTATTAACTCAATTTTTCAATTTCAATGAACTTTAAGTTTTAAGGCAAACTTCATTTTTTACAGTGTATAGCACTTTTTACAATAGATTGCTTTAAAGCTAGCAGCTTTACACAATTAAACATGAAACAAAATGCCAGTCACTTTCAAATTTCTACTATAAATCAGCTCTCTGGTGTTCATGTTTTCACTTGCGTCTGATTTCAATGGACTTAACAGAAGAAATAAACCAAGATTTCCACATTAAAGAAGGAGGAGCCACAAAGCACAAAAACCTATAATGTAATCGCCATGAACCTGGCAGTTTGAAGGAACTAGCCAGAGCGAACTACTCCAGAAAGTGCTAACTCTCCAAATGAACTTCATTCTGTCCTGATTTTGCCTGAAATGCCGTCAACGAGTTTGCTCGATTTTGCTTTAAGTAGGGTTAGGTATTGTTTAAAGTATATATATATAAATAAAAAATAAAGACACAACTTAACAGCACTGATTTTTTGTAAATTATATTTTACACCCTTAAGAGCTGTGCTGCTGCAATTTAATAATTTGCAGCAATTTACTTTGTCATAAGCACCCCATCACATGATAGTGGCACCTCAAGCCACATTCTATAAACTGAGGGTACGTTTACACGACAACTATGTACTAAAAACATAAAAGTTTTTCCTTTCCGTTTTTCGTGCAGCCGTTCCACAAAAACGACAAAAAATGCTGTATTATTCATTCCAGGCCAGTAAGTGGCACTGTCACTTTATAAAGAAACACTCCGTGCCTCTGGACTGAACATGTAATATGCATGCGAATGATGTCACCATTTTCACAAATTCCTCTTTTTGTAGTTTACACAGGGAAGATAACGATCAAGTGTAGCATCAGTTCTGGCAGGTCACGTTAGTCAAGCTCGCATCAGCTGAGTCTCAGCTGATCCACGTCTACCTATAGGAATACGACACTTAATCTACATACTCCCATACAGGGCATTCTTGCCCAGAAATCGTATTTGACGCTAGTGGTCCTGACAGAAATATAGTTTTCAAAAACGTGCACGTTTTCGGCAGTCAAAGCGCCGCTGTCCTGTAAATGAACGGCCAGAGCACATAAAAAGTTTTACGATTTTAGTTGAAAATGGTGTCGTGTAAACGGCCCGAACACTGAGTAACACAGTAGTACACATCAACAGCTTGAGAATACAAACAGAAAAATAAATATCAAAAAGTATCTCACAATAGCAGTTTGTCAGGTACCTAGATATTGAAGACATTGACGTAAGAGTGTTTGCATATGTTTGTGTGTTATTTACCTGTATTTATAGATACTGTGATTGACCATAACCAATGAAAATCGGTCTGAATTAGATGCAACTGGGATGGAATGATGTTGCTGTTAAACAGTATGGCCAGAAACATACTTATACAAAAGTACGCAGACGTAAATATCTGGTCAGCGCATTTGGCCTATTGAATATGCTTAGCGTGCTAACAATAAACATGTAAAACCGGTTACAAAATTTAACTTGCTCAACAAGATTCTCTTCAAACTGTTGCTCTTGCCAAAGTAAGGGGCACGAAGACAACATTTTTGCAACATTTTTTTTTTTTTTACAACATTTAACCTATTCATTATAGAGGTATTTAGAACGCTAAGAACGCAATGGACTTTAGCGTTGTTCTCAGTAGTGCTCTGACAATTCCAGAAATCACTTAGCTGCTTAGCAAGAATCATTTGCATACTTGCAAAGAGTACGTTTTAGGGCAAAGTCGGTTTTAAATAAGTTAGAAATCTTTAGTGATCATTGGTGGAATGCGCTTAAGAATTTAGCTCCTTTGTCTTATCTTGCTCTGTAGTCCATGCAGCATATTGCAGGTCATGCTGGATTGTCAGACATAACATGTTTTTTTTCCTATTTTCTTCTTAAGATATGTTTCTTCAAGGCACAGCAAGAGAGCACGGTACAAATCACAACTCATTTACATTCAGCTTGGCAAGAAAACCCTCCACCCACCCTTCCCTTCCAGTCCTAGAACCACTAGCAGCAAAGACCAAGAATACAAAATTTACTAAGAAAATTGGTATTACAGAAGCCAGAGCAACACTTAACGGATCTAAAGAGAGCTGCAGGCTGGTTTGAGTGTGTGACAGAGTAGAACAACATGCAGTTGGAAACTATGAATTGAGTAGCAGGATCATCCAATGTGCCATTTTGTGTTATCATAAATGATTTTACCCTGAAAATATTTGAAAATGTTTTTTAAAAAAGGTTGTGTTTTTAATAGGTTAAGCTCCATTGATAGAATCCGTCAGTTTGTAAAAAAAAAAAAAAAAAAAAATCTAAACCAAATATTTGTTTACAGCAGTGCACTTACTATAAAAGACTGTGGTATAAACATGGCACCAGAATACATGTTAAAATACAAATTGTTTCAAATGTATAGCCACAAAACGTTTTATAAGTTGAACAAAATAGCTTACCTTGTATGAGGAAATTTTTCAACTGTCCTGACCATGTAAATGTAGGGCAACTTAGAGCTCAAATAACACAATTTAGGGCTCCAGACTGTGAATAAAATGCGCAACACGATCATTTAGAATCAAGCCGTTAATGCCTTTTTCCCGCTCAAATGCGGTTTCTTCAGACGTCGTCTGTTTGGAATGCGCGCCAATGTTTCATGCACGTGACGGAACACGGAGCTTGATGTCTGATTCGGGGCTAAATGACTCTTGTGAACCGATTCTTTCAGTTCAATATTCACTAAAAAGCCACGATTTAGCTATTAAAATCAGACTGGGTCAGGAAATTTCTGAGCTAAATTTTCCAAAAACACGGTGGACACCATTGCCACTCTCGAACGTCGTTTTAAAGTATGCTTACACAATGGAGTGAGTTTTTATTGCAAAAACAGTGACAACAACTGAAACGAATTTGTTGGGTACTATTAAAAAATAAGTTTATAACTTAAATCGTTATAGTCTGTAGGCCTATACTGTTTTCCTCACTGCATGCAGGAGTGACAATATTAAAATCTCAATAATGATACGAACTCAATGACTGAACAATCATCTTTATCAAGCGATTCTATAGTTATCAGTCAACAGACAAAAAGACAAAGTTTCATTTTTTTCGGAGCCAGTGGCTCTCTCATCATTTTATTTTGTCTGGAGCTCTAAATCAGTGATTTTTTAGCTTCACAGAGCTTTAAACCCTCATTGCTCTATAGACTTTCATTATAAGTGCACTACTGTATAAATTGGGAGTCAAAATTATGCTGCCGAGAGTCTTTTTGAGCATTGATTGAACAGCTCTTCTTTTTTGTTTATCTTTTTCCTACAAACTGATTGTTTTGCACATTTTTCAGGTCATTATGCGAGTCTGCTAAATTAGACTGTATATTAATAGTCAGTAAAAAGCTTCACTTTCTAATGTCCTCTCACATCTTCTCCTTAGACCAAATTACTGATTGAACAGCACAGAAAAAAAAAAAAACTCAAATTACGCAATGAGGGTCTCTGAATTTGAAATATTATGTAGTGCCAATTGACTGCAGTATGTACAACACAACTGCTATTGTCACTGAAAAACAAACAATAACTGGGAGAGATTGACTCTGGCGCACACTACAAAAAAGGTTGAGGGTGTTAATAACAGTAATAATAATCTACTAATAGAAAACACATGAAAACAGCCTCTCAGCATAATGTTGCACAATTATGTACCATTGCTAAAATACAAGTACTGAATAAAAATAACAATAGTAAGCACACACTGTAACAACAGCAAAAGATGAATTAAGCAAATCGGATTTGCAGGAGCATTGCCTAAACCCTTTAAAGCTTTACGATGTGACAATGAATAAAAAAGTACATAGAAAAAATCTGTCAAAATGCAATGTTCCAAGCTTCAATCAACCAAACCACCAGACACCCATTAACATCATTAGCGTGAAAAGAAAAATAGAGGAAAGTAGAAAGCATAGTCCGAGCAAGAGAAGTGGACTGGTCTCATTTTTTGACAGATCTTTGCTTTTATCCACTTCAGATTTTTCTTTGAAAGCTCAAGTCCTCAGAACTAAAACCGCCATGTCATTGAATTCCCAACAAGCTTTTAAAGCAGTTTGCTTGGATAGATGCAATTTGTTGTCTTTTACACTTAAATGGAGGTTCTAGAGGAAAAGATGTGCAGCATAGTGCCTCTTTATCAACCACTAGCTAAGATGCGGCATTGGGCTTGAGCGTTAGTTAGGGAGTGGGAACGTTGGGCAGGTCGGTCACTGGAAACCCACAGGACTGTCCATGAGAGGGCTCGGGCAACTGGGATCTGTGTCATCCTTGAGTTCAGTCTCCAAAGTTTCCTCCAGATCCTTTTCCTCCACTCCTTCAGCGTCACACACTGAACTCTGGCTGTTCCTCATGGTGCCGTAGCTCTGGTGGGCCGGAGAGGGCATGGGAGTCAGGCCCAGCTCTGGGTCCAGCAGGACAGAGGCTATAAAAAGCTGAGGAGGGAAAGAATGAGAGGTGAGTAGGTGGAAAGCAAGAGTGCCATTATTTTAAGAGCTTCTTTTTTTATGTTTATGCAACATGCTACATGTGAAGTGCCTTTGACATGGTGAGTGGCAGCCTTAGAGGAGATGAGTGGAAAGAGAGAAATTAATTTCATAAGAGGGACTTGAAATGAGTGTGATGAATTAAATGAGCTGTGACGGGATAAGCAGGTACATTAGCTGTGGTTGTGGTGGAAACAGTGCTTCTCTCCGCATCACTGAAGCCTTCTTCTGTCGTCTGATCGGACATCTGAAACAAATCAGGATAGCCATCACTTTTTACTGCCTGAAGATATTATCCTGCTAAAAGCATCTATTCTCAAAGCCCATCTTGTGTTGACAAATGCATATAGTTGTAAAGGTCAAACTGTCAATATAGACTATATGACCTATATGATTTATTTATTTATTTTATATTTTTTGGGGGGAAATGTGCTTAATTGTCACAAAAATATAATAGATTATTTTTTTTCTGATGATTTTGGCTGAATTATAACCTTGATATTCACTCATTATTGTATGACCATTACTATTTTACAAGCATATACATCATGTTTCTACAAAACATCAAGATCAAAATTTTTTTACATGGCTGACCTGATAGCTTGTTGATCTGTCATGTCGTAGTTTTTTCAGACAAAAACCAAAGCAGGAGAAGACAATACAGCACAGGAGAGTTATGAAAGTGAACAGAGTGATGGGCTGCATTGGACCTGCACAAGAGATAAAACATGAGGTAATGCTTTAATATGGAACAGAGCTGGATACATGATTTTGTGGTCTTGGTTGTAAGATCTCTCAAAACCACATACAGTAAACATGGCTTCGGTTTGGGTCTGGGTCTCATTACTAGTCTCTTGGTTTGGGTTTGGGTCTGGTTCAGGAAATGTAGTTTATAATATCCTTACATAAAACCACTGTCTTGCCTGCAATTTCCAAAAAAACTGGATTTACCTCAGGCAAAGGTCAGCAAGGTATCTTAACCATTAAAAAGAATTTGCATGGATTGTCATGTTCTAATTGGCTACTGTCAAAGTGGCTCAGCATAGCTGCTAAAAAATCTAAATTTTCTCCACTTCAGTTTATTGAAATGGACAGTTCTTTGTCTATAGGGGATTATATATTGGGCTGGATCTAGGCCTTGAGTGGTCTAGTCTTGATCTGAGTTGGGGTCTTATGGGGAGTCTTGGAGTGTCTGGTCTTGACTCAAAGTGAACACATATTCTACAGTGACAGATAAACACATAATGTCAGATCATTCAGGTTTCTATTTTAAGTTACACAGTTATTATAGCAATACTTTTTTTATGTGGTTTGGTTCTATTTAAACTAATAATGTATTATGTTAATGCAATGTGGCACAATCACAGTGGATCAGAACATTAGTTTAGTACACATTTATGTGGAACATTGTGGACCAATGAGATTACACAGAACTTGAAATCAAAAGCGAATGACAAAGTGTCTTGTTGCTCATTGATTGTTGCTCATCGCTAAAGATGTATAATACTAATTCTGACTTATTTTCCAAATTCCTAGTGTTCCTAGGGTAATACCCCAGACTATCCACCTTATTCCTATGCCCCATGACACTTTGCGTGAGTTATGGGTGTAACTTCCGTTAAGCTGTAAACAATCAGTGGAAGGCTCGCTCTATGAACGCAATATGCTAAAAAAGTGGCCCAATGAGACATTAATCGACTCACCCTTCAACCATCGAACATTAAGATGAAAAGTGAAAATAAAGGTGTAAAAGAATCAACGAGGTACTTTCAACAGACCAAAAAGTCTTGTAGTAGGCAAATATATGTATTGTATAACAAGACTTAATCAAAAATGTTCGTTAACTTCAGCATTATGTTAATTATGTCATTTTGATAGATTATAAATAGCATTTACCCATGAAAACCAACCAGGAAAGAGACTTGAGGATTTTAGGAGAATAACGCGAGATTCTTCGTGCATTCCAGTGAATTATTATGTAAATTAAATTAAATGAATGTAATCGTAAATTAAATTCGGGAGAACAGACCGCAAACGTGCCGTATATGTTGTTCTTTTTCATAATTTTACAGCGGATTGCATAGAAAAAAATAAAAATCATCATGAGGAAAAGAAAGCAGCGACTGTAAAGAGCTCTTGCCATAGATATTCTGATTATTACATGTCACATTAAAATACCAAGTATACCGTTATTCTCCTGATGTCTGAAAATAAGTCATGAAGGAAAATTGACAGCTCAAATTAACGGATCAGCTTTATTTGTAATGATTCGCTTCAGCTTTTTTTGAATGGATGTTCCCCAAACCGGAAGTGCCACCCATAATTCAAAACGCAGTAAGCTCGTCAGGAATAAGGTGGATACAGTATGAATAATATAATTAAGAAATGATTTAAACCAACCAAACTGCCACTGACCTTGATAGACAGCAGTCACCTGGCACTTTTATAGTTTTATACAAAAGAACAGCTTTCACATTTTTATAGCTGTTTTGTAAAAATACAGTCGGATTCAATATCCACTTCCAAAATCTGAGGAGGTACAACTGGGAATTTCGTTTCTGTGTAAACCTACCCAGTCTGAGCACTGAGAAGAACAGCAACCAGAACATGCAGAGAATGGGCGCCACCACCACTTGACTGATGGCGGCCGAATGGATCTGCTGGCTGAGCTTGGTGGGTATATAGGCGTAGTAGATATTATACCGATCTACCATATGCTTCAGCACGAGGTAAAGCAAACCTGCGAAATGAATAGAGCTGGAGTTATCAAATAAACTTTGATCTTTTGAAATACATTACAGTGTCATTTTTAAAAGCACTTTTCAGATGATCCAGCAGCAATGCTTTGTGGGTAAAGTCATCTTATAAGAAGTTTTCCTGCCCTGAACATAATATTTATATATTTACCTGTTGACATAGACCACACGCGAGTGCAAGTTGCCAAATGAATTCAGAACTAAGTGAAAAATCATGATGATGGATGTCAGCGTATAGTAAATAAACAGTCATGGTGTGTATTGGTGACAGAACAGGCGTGGAGTGGGCGTCTGGATCTCGGCTAGACGGGTCGGAGCGTCTGGAAGACTACAGCGGGTTCTCACCTAGCGGCCATGTCACACCGCGATACTGAGATGCTGTTGGAGATACGGCTCAGACGCCCACACAGACTGAGGACGGGAACGAGGTATTAGAACATGCACAGAGGTGGAAATGAAGAGTGACGGAAAGAAAAAAGAGAGCTGTGGGTAAAAAGGAACAGAGAGAATGAGAAAAATATCAAACAAATGGTGCAGAGATGCAGAGTTGATAGACAAATGGATTTGAGTGCAAATTAGGAGGAAAGTGGAATAAGCGAGGGGAACAAGACATACTAAAAGAACAGTCTGTTTGTTGAAAAATAAAAACCCTAAAATTACACAGACTCACCAAAAGGTACAATGATGGGGCAAGTGATGCTGTAGGTCATACTGACTGAAAATATGCACATGGTCCAGGCATACTCAAGACCGAACTGAAACTCATAGGCCTGACTCTGAGGGTGAGAATGGAGAAATAGGTTGTTAGTGTATTTTAATGGCATTTAATGTTAAGTTTCGGTGATTAACAGTCACTAAGAACAGCCGCTGTATGGAAAAGAGTTGTGTAAAGATTCTTTAGATTCTCCTTTAGTGTTACACAGTAAAAATAACAGTGAATGCGCTTGAAACGACATGAATGGGAATAAATGATCCAAAAATATAATTTTTAATAGGAGAACTTTTCCATTAGGGGCTCTAAACAATTAAGCCAAGTTTCCCCCAAAATTACCTGGAGCAGGAACTTTTTCCCCAGAAATTCAGCTTTTCCATCACAGGAATAAATTATATTTTTAAATATATTAAAATTAGAAACCAGTCTTGAAGTAGTTTTTCATTATATCATTGTCCCTCTTCTCTGTGTCTCTGTATTCCTGGACTTTTATTTTGTCTTGTATTTTTTGTGTGTTTAGTTTCCATAGTAATTCATTAACTCATCTGTTTCTCATTATCTTGTGTATTTAAACCCTCACTCTTTATCTGTTTTTTTGTCTTGTGTTAATGTTTCGTGCTGATATGTATCTTTATAATGTTCCTGGCGTTTATTAAATGTTTACATCATTCAGCTGCATCAAGCAAGACCCGGACAAGTCAAGCCAGTCCGTGACTAGTATTGTTTTTACTTGTTTTCACTGTACAGGTTCACTCACTCTTTTAACGTGGATACGTTCAGCTTTAGATTTGGCAAAGCAGAGGCGAAGAGAGTACACCAGTAGAGCAGGAATACGCAAAAGCTCCATGGCCGTTCCGATCAGACTGGACGTGATCACGTAGTTCAGAAAAAAAGCTCCGTTATCAGGCAAAAACACACACCTGAGTGGACAAAACAAAGTCAGTCTCAACAAATTATGCATAAATTAACCAACGGCTGCAGATTTAGGGAACAGTAAGAACTTACTGAAACTTTACATCTGTTTCATCCAGGAAGTGGATGTCAAAAAGCCACCTGAAGAACAAATCCAAGCTGAGGAGCAGACAAGAGAATACTGTATATTATATATAATCCTGAACATTACATGTAAGCAATAATGTACGAGACCGTCGAGAGGCTGTGCTGTATCGTGAATAAGTAACGGCTGAAGGGTGTTGTTAGGCACAACGCGAAGCATTGTAACCCTTTTAGCCGTTACTTATTCACAATACAGCACTTGCCTCGAGCACCTTATTGCTTTTATAAAACGGTTACCACACAATAAAAATATTAAAGTTTCATGAAGTAAAACCACTAAAAGCCTTCCTTCTGCTCGAAAAAAATAAAAAATAAATAGTCCCTGACCGTGAACAGCAACAACATGTGTAATATGCATGAAAGCTCAAATAAAAACAACAGTGTTGTGGTCATAGATGTTGTGTTTTATCATGAATAAAGCACAGCTATTGACCAATCAGAATCAAGGACTGGTAATAAGAACACTTAACTGTGAATGTCAAAGTCTCAGGCTTTTGTTTAGTTCTGGTCTAAAGGTGATTTTTAGTGGATGTGTGATGTCAGTTTAACCTTAAGGTGTCCTAGAGTAATCATCGGTGTAGTTGATCACATTAAAGGGATAGTTAGTAGTCATTAATTATTCACCATCATGTTGTTCCAAACCCATAGTTCCAAATCTGAGAGCTTTATCCCTCCATTGACAGCCTACGCAACTACCATTTTCAAGGTCCAGAAAGGTAGTAAAAACATTATTAACATAATCCATGTGACTCCAGTGATTTAACCTCAATTTTTATCAGTGGTTTCTTTGTGCAAAAAAAAACATAATTTAACACTTTAATTCCAAAACATGAATCTCCAATACGCGTTCACACAACAACATCGACAACATGGTGCTCTCGTGAATGCATGTTGAAGATTCATATTATATAAACAAAGTGGTAAATTTATAATAATTAATGCCAGAATTTTTATTTTTGGGTGAAATATTCCTTTAACTATGAATATGATCCACTAATGTCTGGCAAACACAACGTTTCCGGATAGATAGTCTATATCTATTGTTTTATGTTGTGAGATTAAACAATTTAAAAACGAGGTTCATAAAATTTAAATTTCTGAATTTAGTTGGGCTTAAAATCAAACATGTTCAGATAGTGTAAGTGTCAGGGGATTGTGAAAAGGAAAATAGCCTAATTAAAAAAAAATGTTGGCATAGGTAGGACATCCTTATTTATCACTGTCATTGACCCACATACATAGGCTACTGTATATAAAGAAACATTTTATTTTGAGACAAAATGGCAGACCAAATAGGTATTTTTAAATGAAACCCTTGATATGCGACGTGTTATTATACATATAATTATTGTAGGATGATTACCTGGATAGACCCAGTGATGGTAGAATGATTACCATGAAGACCAGCAGTAAAAAGCATTTGTGCATAGTGACCTGATTCTCACCGGACCTGAGAGAGACACACAATAAATATAGAATAAATACATGAGATCAACCAATAGCAAACCCCAACCATCCAATCAATTCCCCATGGACAAAATCAAATCCCGCCCTACATTTTTTCTTTTTCGAGAAGCCATTTCACACAGATATATATCACAACAGGGAATAAAATATTATTGCAACTTCTGTTTCATGTCAACTTTAAATAAATAGATTTTCATCTTTTTACATGATTATACCATTCTATAATTTTCCATTATCACACCAGTTCCTGGTTAAAGTCCACATAAAACCACATTCTGACAGTCTAATGTGACCCATTTCAGAGTAAAAATGTAAATGAATTTTGTAAATACTGTTAAATATATGTTGACTTTCATGTCGAGTGTATATTAATCATTAAAAGTGTTTGCACTGTAAATACAACAGGTAGACAAATGTTTTGCTGCAAGTACTGCAGCTGCACAATACAGAGTGTTTGATCCACGTGAACTATAATGTGACTCTGTGAAAGACGCCGCCAGTCTGCATATGATTATTCCCGTGTTGTGATCACTATGACAACAAGCCTGGAGAGGCAAGTAGAGAGTGCAAGAGAGAGGGACACCATGTAAACGTGTTGTGCATGGGTGGGTGGGAGACTGAGACTGGGTTGGGGGTTGTTTTGCAGTTATGCAATATGTTTGTGCGCTGATATGAACATGTATTTGCAACGCAGCTTAAATCTATTGCATAAACAACTACCAACAGCGCAAACTTACCCTGGTCATTGGGACAACACCATATTTTTGTCAAGCAACACCTTACCTCAATTTCTCATTACCATAATAAAGGAAAATTCCATTGTTACTAATCATATATTAGTTTTCTTAACACTCTGGTGCTGTTCGGTTTCACGTTTTTTTTTTTTTGTGTTTTGTTTTTTTGAGACTTGGTAAAGGTTTTGTCTCTTGCTAAGTGACACACACACACACACACACACACACAAACAGGGGGATTTTCTTTTAAGGTCTTTTTTCATAATATAACTTTAAATATGCATTTTTAATTATTTTTTGAGTTATATATATAAAACAAGCCAAGAGGGGACCTCTTACTCTGACCAATGGAGTGAACTGTCTGTGAAGTCTGTCTTCACTATGTAACTTGTATATATACACACACACAAAATCATCAACATGATTCGAAAAGGTTGAATGGTTCAGAAAAAAGACCCACTTGTATTGTTCAAGGTCAGAAATGTCCGCATTGGAAATGAATGAAAATCAAATTTCATCTAGTGGAAACTTTTGGTACTGCGCCCACACAACACCTAAAAGCTCATTTTTTGATATATCAACCTCAAATTTGGAACACAACTTTTTTTAGATTTATGACTTTGTTTTTTCTCACAAAGAAAAACATGTTTTAGAAAATATATATTTCATATAAAATTTAAAAATAGTATTTTTTGGGCATTTTCATAATAAACTTAAATTTACTTTACTTTTTCTTTTTCACATAATAATCAGGAATAGAGGAATAATCTGCCAAGTGTCTTCTTTAAAAAGAGACCTAACTTAAGTCTGTGCTCCAAAGCATTCAAGATTTATTTATTATTTTTAAAGTCTATGCTCAAAATGCTAAACAGGTAATAAATGGATCATAACTATTCCATAAATATAATTTAGTACAATAAAATCCTCTAAAAATAGAAAATATAAAAAAAAAACATTATTGAACTAAAATATTGTACATTGATTTCATTTTTAAAAAACAAACACAAATGTGAACAGTACCTGAACTACCTAAATATTTTAATATATTGTGGTATTTGGTGTATATTATGGAAATTTAAATGATACAAATTAATATAAAAAAATTATATAAAAAAATACAATACTAAGCAAAAGTCTGGGACCAGTAAATTTTTTTAAAATAAGCTAAAGTAAATTACAATGTTAACAATAAATGGCTGCAAGAAATGTATCTTTGTCATCACAAGAATAAATACATTTTTTAAATATTTTTAAAAAGGTCAGTTATTGAAAATTGTAGCAATATTTTACAATATTACTATTTTTTACTGTATTTTGATCAAATAAATGCAGCATTGGTGAGTATATGAGACTTCTTTCAAAAATAATAAAAAAACTGAATGGTAGTGTATCATCCAAATGCATTATAAGTTGTTTTAACATCCGACAGGGAACATATATAACTGTGTTAATAAGCAATCATTTCCTTTTAATTCAGTAAAATCAGTCATTTGAATGAGCACTGGAGTAAAAAGACCTCCCTGCTGTAGCTTTCTCATATATATACACAGTTTAAAGTCAGACGGCGGAAACGGCATCATACCTGGTCCAGTGGTACTCAAAGAAAGATGAATAGTACACAATGAAGGGCAGGAGAATGGAAAAGGCCCACAGGAGCAGGGTGGGGAAGAACTGGGTAATTACTGGGTTCTAGACAGTAGAAGACAGTAAAAGATCAAATTCAAAACATCCAACTTCCGAAAACAACACAAAAAGGACCTTTCAGTTTTATTTTATATTCTAATGTGGCGTAATACAGCCGTACGGTTATAAAACTTCTTTGATGGTCACTGACCCTTAAGCTTTCAACAGGCCGAGTGACGTTGAACTTGTCCATAGTGTTTACGATGATAGCAGGGGTTGTGAGAAAGAAGAGCAAGAGGAAGAGCAGAATGTTGAGCAGGACGCAGCGGAGCCACCAGCGAGAACCGCACACTGACAGATTTTCCCTGGAAGAACACAGGCACCAATCAACAAGACAAGGTCTGAACAACAGTTGCACGACTGAGAGTGTGTGCTCGCCAAGTGTTCAGCTGCTGTTACATAAATGGGAAGGTTTGTGCTGGAAAAGCTGGTTAGCTGGACTCCCAGTCTGACAGAGCGGGTATTCAGCTGGTTTAGTTGTAGGTCTTCCAGCTCAAAACCCTTTCAGAACCAGCAACAGTGCCCCAAACCCCCCTGAAACCAGTTAATACCAGTTAAAGGTTGGGACAGGGACACAAGATTGGTTCATTTATGATGTTCTATGGGATAGTCTACGCTTCATACTCTTAAAGTCTGATATAATAGTTTACAATAATGTATATATTTTTTTAATTTAAACAACCTAAATTTATTTATTAGTTTATTTGATAGGGACCATGTATTGTCGTAGGATAATACACCATGTAAATATGCCAGAATTAGTAAAAACATACTACTTTTTATCTGCAGGACCTGAAAACCAACAAAAAACCAACAGTCATTCACTATAACAACAATACACATGGATAAGAATATACATTGATATTACAAACAACGCATAAATAAAAATATAAAAAAAAATACATCATTCTCCACTATACTACATTTAATTTAACAATGAAAGTTTGTGGCTGATAAATATAGCAAGTAAATGTATAGAAAATCTAAATTATAATAAAAAAGTCTATATACGTGTTCATATTTGATATGCCTGGCTTTTATGGCTCATATAGTATGATATAAGAGAATATGAAGCTCAAAGGGGGAAAAACACCTAAAAAATGTTTATATGGTCAAAGAGTACAATGAAATAATTCTAGCTTGTAATGTAAATCATTGAGATCTTTACAACATTATAGCAGACTACTTATGCACACTGTATATAAATATCAGTTTTCTTAGCCAGATGAGAGAATTAAATGCTTAGTTTACGTTACAATGATTATTGAGAGATGAACAAATAAATGTTCCTCTCAAAACTATCACATTTGATACTTACATGTTATCATGATTTTTCTAAAGAATGATGTATGGATAATCAAGAAGTAAATTACTTCTTCAGACCAGTAAGTGTTCATCTTACGTTTACTTTTTAAAAATCAGTAAAGATTTCAGAGAAAAAGACACTTATCACGACCTGAAGGGAGATGTTTTCCAAGAGACTTTTATCAATCAGATGCAAGAAGGCATGCAGTAGATTGTGTACAACAGGTTTTTTAGCAAAGTTTTGATCATGTCTAAATAATTTAAAATATGATACAGTAGGCTTTAAAGAGTTAAAACGATTGTTCACGAAAACTGAAATTTATGACATTAGAAAGGTTCATTTCGTTCCAAACCTTCATGACTTTACTTCCTCTGCAGAACACAAAATAAGACATTTTGAAAACTGTTTCTGGCCATGTAAAAAAAAAAGTCAAAAGTCTTCAAAACAACACTGAACCTCATTTACTTTGATTGCATTAACATTAAAACAAAATCATGTATTATTATTTTACTTCCGCAAAGTAAAACTCACACACTCTTTTTTGATTTTTGGTAAACTGAACTTAATTGACTATGTTTTCCAGTTAATTTCCAATGTATTTAAATAGAAAAAACATATATAGAGATATAAAGTTCTCTTATTTGGGAAATAAGTAAAACCCAAATAAACCCATGCAAAAAAGGAACAAAATATAATGAGTTCAGATTTTTTTACAGTCCAGGTTTGGAATAACATGAGGATGTAAATGATGACAGAATTTTAATTTTTAGGTGAACTACCCGTTTAAGTAAAAGCAAGGCACATGAAAGGCATAAAAATGAGAATGAGGTTTACATAAAGTGGAAACAAATACCTTTAGAAAGTAATCGCTATAATAATCCAAAATTGCAAAAGCATTTACTCTATAAATGCAGTGCTACAAAACATTGCACTCATGGGCTACACTGAAATGGAAAACATTCACACTTCAATAAATTGTTTTAATAAGAAGCAAACATGCTACAACATTAGGGCTTGTATCCATAAAAAAGAAAGTCTTGAATTCAGACAAACGCACACACACACACATACGTCCAGTCAAGCAGAAAGACGGACTGACACTGTCCCCCCCACACACACACCCACACACACTAACACTCACTCAATATATGATTCTCAACACATATTATGTAAGAGATATAATGGCTTTCACAGTGGCTGTCTAGGCACACACTCAGATTGAGACTTAATTAATCCAATTTCATCTCTCAAATCCAAGTGTAATGGCCTGGAACAAAGCATGTCATGAAAAATATATATGACTCCAACTTTGCAGATCACAGTTAAAATAACCGTCTACTTAAAAAAACGTTAAATAATACATCACATAAAACATTGTAAATCTTGACCATTTCATAAAAGCGTTTGCTCATTGTGGTTATTTCTATATTTTTTCCTATTTCAAGATATAGATGTGGCTATGGTGTCGACTTACCAGATGATGTCATTAGGGGCAGGGGCATAAGAAACACCCCACTGATGGGACCGCACCACTGTGGTAATGCTGGACTGCTGGGGTCTGTGGCGGCAGCGAGCTCGGCTGTAGTCTTTCACAATACTGCAGAAACATAAGCACAGAGGCTTATAGATTTAAACAATAAGGTATGAGAGAACATGTGAATATATATATTTTTCAAATGTAGTCTACTCAGCAGAGTACCAAATTACTATATTTTGGTTATCATCATACTGTATTGAACAATCAGAAGCCAGCACCAGAATTTAGTGTCGTATAAACTTATATATAAAGCTGTTTATTGTAGTGTACTAAATAAAAGCTGTTCGAAGTTGCAAGGGTTTGGTAATAAAGAGTTTGATGTACAAGAGTTTCTTGATTTATTCTTTTTGTAAGGGACAGTATTAATAATGAGCATGGGATCTATACTATTAAATCTATACTTCAAAATTATGTATTTTTATATAACTAACAGAACTACTCTGAAAGAAATCAAACTAATTTCCTGTCATACAATACAGCACCAAACTGCCCACATTTTAGTTTGTCAGTTGTTTAATTAGTTAATTGTTAGATGAAAAGCTAACTCAGAAACTCTCAGAAAAAACAGCTGTCACTGGGACAGTACCCTTTCAAGGCACTAATATGCACTCTTTAGGGGTAAAGTATGATGGCAGAATGAGCTCAACCCTCTGCAACTGAAGGAAACACAAGCACATATAAAAAACACCAGCAAATTAAGACAAAACCTTTATTAGTTTGATGACAACATGTGATGCAAATACTCCAAACAACATAACCAGATACAGAAACACACTGAAAATACTCACAACATAACCAGATACAGAGATACTCTGAAAATATGCACAAAGCAACCGAAAACAGAAACACTCTGCAATATATATATATATATATATATATATATATATATATATATATATATATATATATATATATATATATATATATATATATATATATATATATATTTGTATTTGCAGTGTTTCTGTATTTGTTTGCATTGTGAATATTTGCAGAGTTTCTGTATTTGGTTGAGTTGTGAGTATTTGCACTGTTTCTGTATTTGGTTGCGTTGTGAGTATTTGCAGTGTTTCTGTATCTGGTTGAGTTGTGAGTATTTGCAATGTTTCTGAATCTGGATGCATTGTGAATATTTGCAGTGTTTCTGTATTTGGTTGCTTTGTGAATATTTGCAGTGTTTCTGTATATGGTTGAGTTGTGAGTATTTGCAGTGTTTCTGTATCTGGTTGCGTTGTGAATATTTGCAGTGTTTCTGTATTTGGTTGCATTGTGAATATTTGCAGTGTTTCTGTATATGGTTGAGTTGTGAGTATTTGCAATGTTTCTGGATCTGGTTGATTTGTGAGTATTTGCAATGTTTCTGAATCTGGTTGCGTTGTGAGTATTTACAGTGTTTCTGTATTTGGTTGAGTTGTGAGTATTTGCAATGTTTCTGAATCTGGTTGCGTTGTGAGTATTTATAGTGTTTCTGTATTTGTTTGAGATGTGAGTATTTGCAATGTTTCTGAATCTGGTTGCGTTGTGAGTATTTATAGTGTTTCTGTATTTGTTTGAGATGTGAGTATTTGCAATGTTTCTGAATCTGGTTGCGTTGTGAGTATTTGCAGTGTTTCTGGATCTGGTTGAGTTGTGAGTATTTGCACTGTGTCTGTATTTGGTTGCGTTGTGAGTATTTACAGTGTTTCTGTATTTGGTTGAGTTGTGAGTATTTGCAATGTTTCTGAATCTGGTTGCGTTGTGAGTATTTATAGTGTTTCTGTATTTGGTTGAGTTGTGAGTATTTGCAGTGTTTCTGAATCTGGTTGCGTTGTGAGTATTTGCACTGTTTCTGTATTGGTTGCGTTGTGAGTATTTATAGTGTTTCTGAATCTGGTTGCGTTGTGAGTATTTGCAGTGTTTCTGGATCTGGTTGAGTTGTGAGTATTTGCAATGTTTCTGAATCTGGTTGCGTTGTGAGTATTTGCAGTGTTTCTGGATCTGGTTGAGTTGTGAGTATTTGCACTGTTTCTGTATTTGGTTGCGTTGTGAGTATTTACAGTGTTTCTGTATTTGGTTGAGTTGTGAATATTTGCAGTGTTTCTGTATCTGGTTGCGTTGTGAGTATTTGCAGTGTTTCTGGATCTGGTTGAGTTGTGAGTATTTGCAGTGTTTCTGTATTTGGTTGCGTTGTGAGTATTTATAGTGTTTCTGTATTTGGTTGCGTTGTGAGTATTTATAGTGTTTCTGAATCTGGTTGCGTTGTGAGTATTTGCACTGTTTCTGTATTGGTTGCGTTGTGAGTATTTGCAGTGTTTCTGGATCTGTTTGAGTTGTGAGTATTTGCAGTGTTTCTGGATCTGTTTGAGTTGTGAGTATTTGCAGTGTTTCTGGATCTGTTTGAGTTGTGAGTATTTGCAATGGTTCTGTATCTGGTTGCATTGTGAGTATTTGCAGTGTTTCTGTATTTGTTTGATTGTGCTTATTTGCAGTGTTTCTGTATCTGGTTGAGTTGTGAGTATTTGCAATGTTTCTGAATCTGGTTGCGTTGAGAGTATTTGCAGCACATGTGTTGTCAAACTGATGAAGACGTTTATTTAAACACGTTTTGCAGGTGTTTTTTCTCTAGTTGCAACACGTTGAGCTCTTTCGGCCACTGTAGTAATGGGTACAAACTAAGGTCCTTTAAAAGAGTACTGCACCAGTGAAAGCTTTTTTTTTGAGGGTGTACCTGCATGTCATCACTATTATAAGTCATCATTAACTGACATCAAATAACCATGTACATGCTCTATAACACTTTACTACATCTCATAATGCTTAAAAAGTCATACGTTTGAATGTTAAAATTAGTTAACAGTTAGAAGAAGGAATGTGATTTTTATTCTGTATATATGTTTCATACAGTATATGTTCCACATGGACCCCTGGACTACCTTTAGGGAACCTGAGGGCTCTATGAGACTAAATGAAATGAAATACATTGTTTTCTGATAGCTACAGTAGAGTCTAGTGGTTCAGCTGCCAGGAGATCTGCTTCATGTTGATGTTAAATGTTTTAAAATAAAAATACTTTTATATTCTTAAAATCTAGGTATTCATTACAGGACCTCTTGACGGATGATGCAGATTCTCAATAATCAGCCATTTACCCCCAACACTTACACTGCAGTCATCCTCTCATCTCTGAAGGTAACAAAGGCAATGCCCAGCCTCTTCATAGAGATCCGGTTCTTCTCTGCATTAAACTCATCGGTCAGTTTCTCCTCCAGCTCACTGTAGTACTGCTCTGCATCCACCTGATGAGAGGACAATCACAATAGACATGAGAAGAAGAGTATCAAATCTCCTCACAGAGCAGTTCATGACAGTCAGTTGGTGTGTGGTGGTCTCCAGTGGCCAACATGAAGAGGTGCAGCACCAGTCACATGACTATTATATATGTAGATGTACAAATATATCCATTCTGACTATAATGAGTGCGTGAGGGAAATTTACCTGTTCAAAGCCACATATATCACAGCAGAAGATCTGTGCACAGGGGTGCATCTTTATCAAGATCCTGCCTTCCTTCTGAGCTTTGGTTGTGAAGTACAGCCTTCCTTTCATTGCTTTTCGCCTGTACAGGATATAGTTTTAAGGCCCGTTCACACAAAGAAAGATAACATCCACACCAAAGCATGAAATGATTGTTTATTCTAAGCACGCTGCAATTGCGAGCATAAGTCGTCTGTCACTTTAAATGCTTGAGCTCATTAAAGTCTGTTTGGTTGTCATAGTTTTTATTATTCATCAGCTGGAAAGAATCATTCTGACAGCGATTGCAATAATATCGTGGTGTGAACGCTGCTGTTCTTTTATATTCAGAAAGATTTATAGAAATATATCTTTACCATTATCGTTATCGTCCTTGGTGTGAATGTGCCTTTAATATGGTTAAATATTTGCGAGACTCAGCTCTTAGACATTCAGGAGATGTGAGAATGCGAATGACCTTTCAGAGTCCAGCTTCATTAGTTTTTGTACGTCAAAGCAGAACCGGATGTCTGTAACGGTGCAGCTGGGGTAGGCTTCACTGTTGGGAGATAGAACAGACGTTGCCTTTTACACTGAGTAAAAAATGAATGCCATCAGTTGTGTTGACATCTAATCTCCAATATGCTGAAGTATGGAGATTAAGTAATAGTTGAAATTCTGTGGATAACCGCTTTGTGCCCTTCACTCACTGCAGGTGTTTGGTGATCAGGCCGGGATCAGAGATTTCTCTTGGAATTGACGTTATCATCAGAGTTCTGGCCACCTGCAATAATAAATCAAAAATGAGAGCTGGAAGTGTATTTCATGAAGCAAATCTTGGTGATTGCAAGACGGCAAAAGAACAGTGTTGCTTTTTTGCTTTTTTGGTAGGAACATGATCAATTATGCCTTCTAATGAATCAACTTCACAGGTATGATCATAATGGTAAACGCTATTCGTACAAGTCAATGAAAGATTATAAAACCTTTATTTAATTTCATGTGAAGAGCACATTTTTCACTTAATTCACATAATCGTTATGCAAATATATATGTGCATTTATAATTTAATTAATAAAGCATTTATGTTGTAGTATATTTATTATACATTTTTGGGGGGATAAAAAAAAATAAAAAATTGTACGGAGCCCCATGCAACATGCAGGAACAAATAAATATATTTATAAACATATATACGAATTGTACACTCGTGCCCACAACTTACTCAGCATGCTTTACTAATTCCTTCCCTTGTCTAAAGTAAATCACATGCACGATATACAGTAATAATCAATTCCCTCGATTTACTAAATCATGGCCACACTGTGAAATAATTTGTTCCCTCCTTTTGGTTTTACGAAAACAAGGGAACAAATTGTAACAGTAGACACAATTTACTAAAACAAGGGAATGAATTACTAAATCATGGGAACTAATTCTTTCATTTGTAGCCACGGTTTAACTAAAACGAGAGAACGAATTCTTCATTCGGTGCCACAATTTATATACTTGTCCGCATGTCATGTGCAGGGCTCCGAGAAATAGTGTCCAGACCTATTTTTTACAGTCTATGGTCCAGACAGGGCGATTTTCATTAATGTATTACCGTAAAGAGAATTTAATGAAAATTAATGAGAGTAATGGGAAATACAAAAGTTAAACATCTGAAGGCACTGCTGAAGTAAGTATTGAGGCGTCATAAAAATAATGTCACAATGCCAAAAATGCAAATGTATGTAAAAACAGACTTCCAGAAAAATACAATACAATTTGAATTATTCATTATTTATAATTAATGACATTTCTCTTTAAATTTAAGAGGAAATAAGGACGTTTGATTTTATGTAATTCCCTGAAAACGCAGAAGCATTTAAATGAAATACAAAAATGAGATGCAATAACACGTATGCACACAATACAATCTTGTGTTCACAGACCTTCTCGTCCTCTTTGTATTTCTGTTGTGAGGAGTGATGGGCCATGCACAGGACGGTGATCACAAAATACAGCAGGGCAAAGATACTGTGCAACCACAGAAATGTGTTCCTAAAGCAAGAAGAAGAGAGTTACTAAGATCATGCCAACATCTTCATAAATCTGTACATTCACTATAAGGTAATGCATTTATATGTACATCCATTACAATAGACAAACTTACTGCGCAGGGACATTAACCACTGTTGTTCGGCCGAAATTTTGTGGACTATCTCCTGAAAAACATAATAAACAAGTCATGTTAAAACACCAGTGTCAAAAATACAACTCTAAAAGTAATTTGAGGCCTGTGAATGTGGAATAAAGAAACTCTCTACACCCAAATCTCTATGCATTGGGTTTGGTTGCTAGGACAGATTGGTGAATGTGTTGCTTTATTTCACAAATACTGTTGCATAGAGATAACCGTCAGCATTAAAACCCCCAACTTCTTGTAACCAGCCGGCCCTGAAGCTGCACCACAAACTGGTCAACCACACATCCACATTTAACGCTTTTAGAAGGCCACAGTAAACTTCTGCCACCGAGGTCGCATGAAAAGATTATTGCAGGTCTGAGAACAACAAGAGGTAAAGCTGGTGGCTTTTTACAATGTTCTTCTTGTGGCGTGGACAGTCAAGGCCTTTCCCAGATTTAACTTGGCCCTTCTAACCCTCTATCGTGCCACCCAACCATCTTCAAACACTGTAGGGTGGTCTGAATGATGCTTTTACACATGTCCACTAATAGAGGGTTAAGACGGAGCCTTTCTACATCTTCAAGAGTTTTCCCAGGCCTTTCCGAAAGTCATTCATCGGCAGGCCCACCAGGAATCTGCATCCGCAGCAGATTTCCTGCCATACACAAAGTTTTTTTTTTTTTACATTTCCCCCAGTTTCCTCCAAATCAGTACAAAACAAATGTTCACTACTGTTGAAAGGTTTGATTTTTTTGGTGTTTTTAATGTTTAAGATTTTTAATGAAGTCTCTTGTGCTCACCAAGTCTGCTTTTATTTATTTTTTTATACAGTAAAAACTGTGAAAAAATATTACAATTTTAAACAACTGATTCCTATTTGAATATATTTTAAAATGTAATTTATTCCTGTGATGCAAAGCTGAAATTTGAGGATTTTGAACACTGGATTTAAGGATTCTTTGATGAGTAGAAAGTGTAAAATAACAGCATTTATTTTAATAGAAATCTGTTAAAATGTCTTAAAAACTACTACTTTTGATAAATTTAATGTATCTTTTAAGTATTTTTTTGGTAACACTTTATTTTGATGGTCCCTTTTGAACATTCTGTTGACTATAAGTAACTTTGCAACTAGTCAACTAACTCATTTGAGTATTACTAGACTGTCTGCTTAATATCTGCTAACTCTTTATTGTGTCAGTCCTCCAACAGACTTTCTACTGACTATAAGTAACTTTGCAACTACATGTCAACTTATTCTAACGCTAAATACTCTACTAACACACTAATGAGGGGTTGTAGACACGTAGGTGCAACGTTACTTATAGTCAACAGAATGTGTTAAAGGGACCATCAAAATAAAGTGAATCCATGTTTTTGGTATATATATATATATACAGTATATATATACATTTATTTTTTTTCACTGGTACTCTATTCCGAACAAAATCAACATTTTAAAAGCACCACAGATCAATTTTTTTTACACTCTAGAAATGAACCTAACCTATGTACTGTATGTCATTAAGGTTTTGAGAACGTATTTTAACATTACGTATTTTAAGATTACACATCTTTACATTTTATTTTCCTTTTTGAAAGTCCTTTAGATCAATGTCAGAGCATGGCATCATGCATTTAACAGTCATTTCAGGTCAAACAGAAACTCTAACACTAACAATCTGTCAAAACTGATTCATGAGATTGTTCTAAACTGGAGTCTGTTTTTGGGTGCATGCACACTGATGAATTAAGTAATGCTTTATTCAAGTATACTGCCTTTTCCTGGATACCAAACGTGTTGTGTCTGTTGTCATGAATCCTTTATGGCTGAGCAATGCTAGAGCAAATAGTAACCAAGCATTTGAGGATCTGGTGGAGGTACCGAGGAGGTTCCCGGAGAGGTTGACGGGCAAGATGATGGTGAGCGACAGCAAACACACCACCGTCAAGAGAACGATAATGTGGCGCTGGAATGACAGGTACGTGATCGCGTCAATGCCACATTTACTGCGGATCTCCTCGTCCCTGTGGGAAAAGAATAGGGACAAAAAAGCTTCATTAAAATATATATTTTTTTAAATTAATTAGGCAAACATGGCAACGACATCATTCATGACAACATTTCTTATCCCATACATTAATTTATACAAAAATACATTTAAAAAATGCACTACCTACACTCTCAGAAAAAAAGGTACAAAAGCTGTCACTGGGGCTGTACCTTTTCAAAAGGTAAACTTTTGTCCATTTCAGGTGCTAATATGTACATTTTAGGTGCTAATACTGTATGTACATTTTAGCTTGCCAATATTTACATTTCAGGTGCTAATATGTACATTGTAGGTGCTAATATGTACATTTTAGGTGGTAATATGTATATTTTAGGTGCCAATATGTACATTCTAGGCACTAATATGTAAATTTTAGGTGCTAATATGTACCATTAAGGTACCAATATGCAGCCTTTAGGTACAAAAGTGTAGCTTTTGAAAGGGTACAGCCCCAGTGACAGCTTTTGTACCTTTTTTTTTTCTGAGAGTGTAGATTCAGTTTTTTATCTTCTGAATTAAATATTATTTTAAAAAGTCTTCTTTTTTTTAGAAATTAAGAAAGAAAAAAAAGAAAGCCAAGAAATTAAGGGGAAAAAAACATTTTTAAAGGCTTTGGCATAATTGTCTGTTGTCTAAAACTCGTTTATCAAAATTAACAAATCTTTTTTCGTGTCATTTGGTTCATTCAACGAACGAAATGAACGAGTTGACTCGAGTTCGAACAGGAGAGTCACGAACGCGCATCACAGAACAGAGCAAGGCGACCATTTGAGTTTATAAAACTTAAACTCTGTTTTTTTTTTTTTTTAAATGAGCGATCGTTTCGCTTGATAAGACCCTTATTCATCGTCTGAAATCGTTTAAAGCCCTTTGAACAGTTTGCAGTTTGCACTGAAACTGTCTTTTGGACCTTGAACCGTTTGGTTCCCATTGAAGTGCATTATATGGAGAAAAAATCCCAGAAAATGTTTTCATCAAAAACCTTAATTTCTTTTCGACTGAAGAAAGAAAGACATGGACATCTTGGATGACATGGGGGTGAGTAAATTATCAGCAAAAGTTTTTTAAAAAGTGAACTACTCCTTTAATCGTAGACACTCTTACATGTCAATGACCCATGTAAGTTCTCTAATATCCCAACCTACATTATAACCCCTTGGTTTTGCCGGCACTTTAGTCAACTAGTTTAACTAAAATGACAAAGACTGACTTTGTTAGAGTTTTCAGTGTTTCCAATGAATGATTGGCTTCAGTCAACAATATTCAGTGTGTGTAGCAGTCTTTTTAAAAGACCACACAAATACATAAAGGCGTTGAGGGCTATTATGATTACAAGGAGCCATCATTCACACAAAAACACACAGCCTCGCCTCACACGGAGTGAGGAAACTCTCAGCATGGCCTCTCGGTCTCCGGGGAGAGATCAAGAAACTTTTAAAGGAACCAGCTAAATGTGGCACCAACATGCCATCCGGCTCGTCCAAATAACATCTCGGCAACCTTGGAGACAGACTAGCAGCTGGTTTACGCTTCTGAAAGGCTTTTGAGCGTGTCCAGGCGTTGGTAAAGCGCCCGGTCCACCTTCACCCTGTGTTTTCCCTTCTTAATGAGATATAACATGAGCAAACAGGATGCTGGTTGATGACATCACCACTTTCTCGCACACTTACTTCATGTGGGACAGAGATGTGAGCCAGGAACAGAAGCCCTATAAAGAGAGGGAGGGAAGACAACGGTGTCATAAAAAGGTCTGGCATATAAAAACACACACAGCGCGTCTGGCTAGCTTAGCATCTGTCAGAATCATTTGCTCTTTAACTGAACATGGATAGCGTAACAAGTGGAAAAGGCCATGCAATATATCTTTAACGTGCCTGTGATGTCTTGAACGGTCATTGCACATAAAACGAAAGGAGACAGAGTGAGGTCAGAATTTAAACGGACAGATAGGGTGCGTAAAAGAAAATAGGGTCTAAGTGCACAGGCTATTTTATATGACATCAGCTCTGGGGCGACGCTTCGTAACAGTAATCCACGTCGACAGATTGAACTTCATGTGTGCCTCTTTATGTCTTCACGTATCAGCAGTTTGCATCAACATGAAGACGACGGTGACTTTAAAAGGGTCATGACATGGATATTTATTATTATTTTAATATGTTCCGTAATGTTCACTTAAATAATTGTTTTATATTATAAAAACAACAAAGCAAAACAAAAACAAAACACATTTATATATACCCTTTGTCTGAAATGATCAGTTTTTTAGGGGTGGCTCCTTTAAGGCTTGTGAGTAAACGGCCACTGTTATGATTGGCTAACATAACAGCATAGGAAACAATATCAGTAGGACACGAGTATGTTTTTTGAAAAAAAAAATAAAAAATCATATTAAACCATCATTTACAGACAAAGGTTAATGAAATCATTTACTTATGGTTTGTGATGCAGCTGCTGTCAGATTCAATGGTTCATCTTTCAACAAAAGATTCTCTCCATTACATTGTGTGATTGGTACACAAAGACCGCATATATGTCAAAAGATCGAGCCAAATTTGATTTCTCATGTCATGACACCTTTAAAAAAACTCTATCTATTAATTTTACTCGTTTCTAGGTTTCTCGTTTCATTGATAACGAAGTGCAGGCCTTGTGATGTGAGACGAGAGGGATTCTGCACCTCCAAATGTAGTAAATTCAAACGAAGATCCTGATCAAGCATTTCTTAAATGTGTGTGAGGCTTTTTTCCTCACCGTGTCCTTGGTCTCCGAGTCTGATGGGCTGGATTCTGATGGGGTTTTCTCCTTCTCACTTTGTTCTCCATAGAATAATGATGTCAAGCTACAGAACAAAGACGAACAATAAAATGGACGGGTAATAATTTTTCACAAAATACTCTTAAGAAAACCTCACATACTGTTAGAAATGTGGAAATTATTCCCATGTTGAATTATATATAGACCAGGGCCAGTTATGACACTTTTTATTCAATTTTTTTTCAAGATGGGTATATTTTGTTTCTTATAAATATTACAAAAATGTAAGCCTCTCATACCTTAAACTCTTGGCAACAAAAAAAGCTACAGTACATTTTCACAATCGTTAGTTAAACACACATAATAACATATTGTTTAAAATTTGAGTTCTATATAAATTCAAAAGCAATACAAGATATCTGTATTTCAAATGCAAAACATTATATTGGCCAGCAAAAATGTACTGTAACTGAATTCTAATAATTAATAAATAGACATTTATCCTGAGAATACAGTCGAACTTTTCAGGTAAAATCTACTTTCATTACAAAGTAAAGAAGATAAAATAAAGAAAGAAGTAGTAGACGCATGCTTGAATCTTATTGCGGTTTTATACTCGTTTAAAAAAAAAGATAATTTAATTTCAGTTTTTCTGATATTTGCTTTAAAATAAGGTCCCATTAGTTAACGTTAGTTATTGCATAAACTAATATTAACTAAATATTTGCCACAGTATGTATTAATTAATAAAAATATGGTTACAATTTTTTTAAGTTGTCTTGGTTACAGTGTAATAATAATACAATGTATGTCCTGAGTATCGGCAATATCAATAAACAACATATAATTACTATGGGGAGTTTAATTAGGTTTAGGGTTTGGTTTTCGGTTAGTTGCATGTAATTATGCATAACTGTAAGTACATGTAATATGTGTAATAAAAATAAAAAAAATGCACTGTAAAATAAAGTTTTACAAAAAATACAATTGTTAGTTCAGGTCCATGAAATCATATTAACAGATACAACTTTTGATTTAGATAATCTATTAATAAATGTTAAAATTACATTAACTAAGATTAATACATGCATTAGAATTATTTTTCTTTTTTATAGTTCATGTTAAATAATGCTTAACAAATGTTCACAAATGCAACCTTACTGTAAAATGTTACCAACATGGTTTTAAAGAAATAAGTCTTTGATAACCACAGATAAACCAAGCATTAACTGAACGTTTTGACTGAATAACTGAGGTATAAGAACTCTGAAATCTTCCCATGTGATAATTAAACCTTGTATTATCTATATATCATGTCAGTCAGGTACAGTATTTTCCAGCCTCAATGCCTGTTCCGAAATTACTCAAGTATAATTAGCCTCAAGATCAGAAAATAGTGAACATTTCAGCCCATCAAGTGAAACTCTAGTGCGCACAAATGTAAAAATATTATTACTGTGAGAGCCGGCGCTTTCTCTGTGGGCTGATGCAATACTTTGCAAATATACACACTGAAAATCACCGGCACATTCGTACATGCTGATGCAGAATAAAGCAACACTGCCAAACCTTTAGAGTTATGATTTATATTTCACACACTGCTCCCACAGGGACACTGTGTGTGTGTGTGTGAGCTGAAATGTTTTAACGAACATGCTGTACAGGTTTATCACAAATATGAGCAAAAATTCAATGGTATTCTAAAAGAAAAAGAGTAAATGACCATATAAACACTTTGAATATTATATCATAGTGTTGAGACTGCATTAGTTAAGATCTCTAATGACTTATTATCAGCTGCTGACTCGGGACTTATTCTGCCCGACTTGAGTGTTGCATTTGATACTATTTCGCACAGGATTCTGTTAGACAGACTAGAGTCTAATTGGATCTTTGGTTCCCCCTCCGGTCTTATCTTACAGGTCAAACTCAATTTGTACAGCTGAAGCAGTTTCGATCAAATCCTTCTTATCTCACAACTGGTGTTCCACAGGGCTCCGTCTTGGGCCCTCTCTTATTTATCATTTATCTTCAAACTCTTGGAAATATATATATATATAAATGTGGGATTCAATTCCACTGCTATGCCAATGACACCCACCTTTACCTGTCCTCCAAACAAACTTATATCCTATCAGATTGCTTAGCTACACTGTAAAAATGAATATGCTTTATCTAATCAAAAAAATTGTGGCAACAGATTACAAGCAATAATATTAATTGCATTTAACAAATTATAATTGAGTAATAATTAATCAAATCAATTCCTTAAAAGCTGACCATTTAAAATGAGTAAAACTTACAACAACAACCAAAAAAAAAACTAATTTTTTTTTCATCATTATGATGATCGGTGTTTGTTTTAGGTTGGTTTTAAAATTACGGTTTTCTCCTTCAGTGATTCTGCTTGTTAACATCAGGCGTCTTCAATGTTGGCAATATAAAATAAATAGTTCTGTTAGTGAGATATTTTTGTGATTTTTTTTTTTTTTTGTGTAAACTTTACTCATTTTAAATGGTTAACTTTTAAGGAATAATTTGATTAATTATTACTCAATTCTAATTTGTTAAATTTAATTAATGATATTGCTTGTAATCTGTTGCCACAATTCTATTGATTAGATAAAGCATATTAATTTTTACAGTGTAATATTAAAGCTTGGTTTACATCCAGTCTTCTCAAACTTAAAAATAGTAAAACTCAAAATATACTGCTCAAAAAATTAAAGGGAACACTTAAACAACACTTAAAAAGTAAAAACAAGAAAAAAGTATTTAATAAGATTATTTCATTCATTCAGATCTATGATGGTGTCTTTGAGTGTCATGTTAGGTGCCTATAAATAAAATCTATATTAATAATAATATCATGTCAAATAATATAATGTCCTAAGTAACCAGCAGGTGGCGCCAGGATCTCACACTGACCTGCTAAGCATTCAGTTCACTCAACCACCACACAAAGTTGTTCAATTATTTACATCTTTAATGCATTCAGCAAACAGTCAACAGTTATGAGAAGATACCTGTCATTTTCCATCAGAAGAGCCAGGCGGCCGTAGTCCCACGCTGCCTTCCTCAAACAGGAGAAGATTAAAAGCAGGAACTGCAATAAAAATAAACCAAACCTCAGTGATATCGGCATACTGTTCATATCATGTTCAAGATATGAGTGACCTAAATAAAAACTGCTAGTAAATTACATGCACAGTGAACAATATCTGATGCTCATGCATTTTAAAAGATATGATACATTCCAGAATATGGCCAGAAGGCATTGTGCCACTTTAAATGTGTGCCAAAAAGCTATTGGTATAAACAGATTAAGAAGCATTTGTGTAAGTCGACCCTTGCACTCACTAGACCCCTGAGCAGCAGTAATAATTAGCCATTTCTTTGGCCAGATAGAAACGAGGTGTGTGGTTGTCTTGGAAACTAACAGGCTGTGCGGCCTGCATGCACACTTGTGTTCATAATGACTCCGGGAAGAACAGTCAGTCAATAAAAAAAGACAACAGAAACGCTGACTACTGGGAAGATACTAGTCTCTATTTAGCTTCCTATGTTGCTTAACTTATCCTAAACTTAAAAGGTGAAGAGTGTTATTTTTTCCTCACTAGCATCACCAAAAATAACAGCAAACACTCCCTATGTTTATAATTTAATCCTGAGCGATCAACTCAAGTGTGCTGTATATGTTTAAAAGTTTGGGGTCAGTGAGTTAAAAAAAATACAAAGATGCATTGAATTGATCAAAAGTGACAGTAAATACTTTTTCATTGTCACAAAAAAAATTATTTCAATTTAAATGCTATACTTAAAACTTTCTATTTATCAAAGAATCCTCAAGTTTCCTCAACACAACGCAATTTCAAGTTAACTGGGATAATAATAAGAACTGTTTCTTAAGCACCAAATCAGAACATCAAATAAATGCAGTCTTAGCAGATGTGCTTTTTTTCAAATGAATTAAAGTGTGTTAACTTTTGAGAATATGCGTCTTGTTTCAACTAATTTAGACATTAGGACTTTTTACATAGTGACATTATTTTTACGACAAATTCCCCTCCCAAATTCTCATTAATAAAAATAATCCAATATTTGTTTTTTCACATGGGAAGATTTCATGTTTTTTTTTTTGTCTTACGCGGAGTTTGCGTTGGGGTTTGGAATGAACTACAAGCCAGTCTCTTTGAATCAATCTTCTACTTTTGTGGAAAGTTGACTTAAGTTGTGTCGCTAGAGTTGTCTTCGCTGATACGGAGAATGGCGGCAAAACATAAACAGACATAGCCAGGCGAGCGTGAACACGCATGACGTCACGCCCGGTCTCATTAATTTTACTGTACAGGATTATAGAGGCAATCGCAGTGATCAGAGAAGGGCTCATTCAGCCCATCAGGCAATTGTTTAAGCATGTATGGGTTAGAAAAACGGCTATTTTTACATGAAATGTTGTGCAATGCTCCTATAATGCCAAACAAGGGTTTGTGCTGACGTAAGCTGTTAGTATATCTGGCCCTAAATGTCATGCAGTTGTAGCAAAACAACGAAATATGTTAGCAGGAATGTTGTACCAGCCACACAACGACGTTGATGGCGAGGACAGTGGGGACTCCTCCAAAGGGCAGGCCCTGCAGGACACTGCTGCGAGAGTGAGAGCGATAACATCTCACTGCTGTGCTGTTCTCCTCCATCAGTGAGCCCAGGGAACTCCTGACGTCCAGCTCCTCTAAAGGACCGCCACCAGCTGCAGGCCAGGACTCAAACACCGGCTGAGACGACCCCAACAGGTCAGAGCGCACCGCCATGGCTCACGAAGCCCTTCAAACTGTCAAAGCATCACTGAGGAGAGACGACAGGGAACAAGCAACATTAAAGACACAAGCAATATTTTATAAGATAGTAACTGTGAATGTATTATAGTGGCCAATGATGATGTCAACTACTCATTCATATGGAAAACATACGAAATTAGTCAATCAGGAAACATTTGTTAGCTGAAATGGAGCAAAATAAGTTTAAAAAAAATAAGTAGAAGTACTAAAATTTCTAAAACAAGAACTGAAATAAAGCTAAATAGAAGTGTCTAGATTCAAAATGAAAACTAACTGAGAATTAAAATATTAATAAACAGCATTATATAGCCTATCAATCTGATCTCTGACTTCTGATTGCAGACTTTGGTATCTTGGCGAATCAGGGCACAGATTAAGACATCGTTGATTACTCCCAGTGTTGGGAAAGTTCACTTTCTACATGTACTTGTTCAAAGTTCAATTCACACATATTAAAATGAACTAGTTCAGTTCATAGTTCATACTTCAAAAAATGAACTAGTTCATTTATAGTTCTTTCTTTCCATATGTTAGGAGCTCTCTTTTTTTATTATTATTGCCCCAGCCCATATACAACCACAGACAATAATTATTTTATCGACGGGCAGTTTCCACAGAAATGTAAGATTTTTCCCATCCTCACCGACCTCGCCATAAAATCCGTTTAAATGATCATACGACGACTACTCGCTCACTGCTATGTCGACGGCATTTTAATACATTAATTATAATGTATTTACTTAGTGATTTTTTTAAGACACAACTTCTGAAGAAGACAGTAATTGGATTTCCTCAAATTTTTCTGTTTAATTCTGACATTGATGTTGATCTTCATCTTTACAGAGTGCCCTGAGCAGTTAAACCTTGTGCAAAAAGCTGGTACTAACTATGGGGCAATTTGAACAAACATTTCTAAACCTTTGAACAAACACTGGGACAGCTTGAAGAACCATTTTCATTCAGTTTAACAACCTTTATGAATATTGCCCTGAAGCGCATTAACAGGAACACACAAACAGGGTCAACGCTCATTGCTTTGTTTGTTGATATTACAGATAATGTTGTGCCCTAAACTGATGATTCCCATAGTAACAAAACCATCTCCAACTCACACATAGACTAAGCCATGTCACATCAGTCACTTAATCCATATAAAATCACTTTTAGAAACTACATCATCCTCAAGTCATGCAGACAATTTGACTCTTGCAAATCGAATCGACTAAAATGAAAAGCTTTCAAACAAACTATAATTTATGTTGTTTTTTCATTCTACATTGTTGAAATATACATGCACTCTTAGAAGAAAAGGTTCTATTTAGAACCTTAAAAGGTTCTATCAGTGCTACGTATTTGGAACCCCTAAAAGGTTCTATACACTCTTAAAAAAAGGGTTCCTCTGGGTTCTATATAGAACCCTGGGGGTTCCATACTTGGCCAATAGAACCTTTTACCAAAAAAAAAATGGTTCTATATAGAACCATTTTGGAGTTCCATATATGAAGCGGGGGATGGAACCATTTCTGGTTCTAAATAGAACTATTTCTTCTAAGAGTGTGGCTTAAAGTTAGTTATAATGCTGTCATATCCTGTAGTTTGTAGTGTCAATCAAATGGCAATTTGCACTGAAAATGACCTGAAGGCTTAGAAATATATAACATTATATTACATATAAATAATATTTAAATTGACTAAGTTAAGTTATTATTTTTTTTAATTTAAATAGTTTTACAGTCTTTAAAATACCAGATATCAGTCATCAAGTAAGAACAACTAGCCAGCTTTACAGTATAAAACTACTGGTTTCTAAATCGGTCACGCAAGCTATCAGTATGAGTTAAAGCTTGCTTTTGATGAGAAAAACCTTGTTGATAGAAAATAATGTCACATCCCCCATAAATGACTAATTTACTACTGTCAGCACAAATAAATAACCAATAGGTTTCTGCACGGTTGCTGACAAAGACGAGCTCTTCCAGTCGGACAGACGGTGCATAAACGGCTCTTTTGCGTAGTACAGTCTGACTCTCCTCTCGCCATAGGGTAGGAGAGAAAAACCAACAGCCATTAGTCACAGGTTAAGAAATTATGATGATGAGTCAGCAGTTTCCTCCTCTAAACACTGAGTGTCCACCAGTACACACACACACATGGTATACTATAATATACTACACTAACACATAAGCAATAAGTTCTAACTCCCCCCCAAAAAAATGACATTTCCTTTACAGCTACAACACAAGATTGAAGAATTAAGGTACAATGTTCATTCATTTATAAGTGTAAATTACATGATGTAAACAGTGAGATCTAATGGGAGACAAACTCATTCCTGAAAAAGTGAAGTGTCATCTCAATCTGTAAGGTGTTTTGTAGTTTACTTGAAAAGACTGAGGATGAGTAAAAGAAACACATTTGCATCTACAGTCCCATTGTTGTGAGGGTGAGCAGCTGGAGATGCTAAGAGCTAAAGCCACCTGAGCTCCTGAGGACACGCTGAAAACATGGCACAAAGACACACCTCTCATGTGGCAGAGAATCACTGGCTAGAAATCCAACATGAGAAGAACATTTCTGCCAAGTGTCCAGTACAAACAGATCCTTTACAGCTGCACACTGAATACTTAACACATGCTGGAGTTTGAAAATAGGTTGGGTTGTCACGTGACCTGGATGCAAAAGAATAGGCCAAAAAAACAAAACAAAAAAACAGTCCTACAATTCAGTGGCCATTATTGTAACCCCTCTCCGTTTTGCACTTTGGACCAATGTAGTCAGGGTACATTTTTATATGAGACTGGGATAGAAAATAGCACAATGGGGCACATCTATTGAGGATCGTTTTTTTTTTTTTTTTTTCTTATTTCTTCAGAACTATATTCCCAATTAAGGCAAAGCATATTATAATATATTTATCTCATAAAAATATTTTGTGCCACCTCAATTTGTTAAATAGAAAAACTTCACAAAAAGCTGTTTTGATCATGTTCACAAAAGGTCTACCAACTGTGTTCTTTAAAGGTGTAGTTCACTTTTCAAAAAACTTCTGCTGATAATTTACTCATCCCATGTCATCCAAGATGTCCATGTATTTCTTTCTTCAGTCAAAAAGAAATTAAGGTTTTTGATGAAAACATTCCAGGATTTTTCTCCATATAATGCACTTCAATGGGAACCAAACGGTTCAAGGTCCAAAACTGCAAACTGTTCAAAGGGCTTTAAATGATTCCAGACGACGAATAAGGGTCTTATCTATGGAATATGGAAGCTTGTTTCCGCCACTGAATAAAAAAATAAAATAAATAATTGCGACTTTTTATCTCACAATTCGGACTTTTTTTCTCACAATTGCGAGATAAAAAGTCCGAATTGCGTGATATAAAGTCGCAATTGCGAGTTATAAAGTCAGAATTGCGAGATATAAAGTCAGAATTGCGTGATATAAAGTCGCAATTGCGAGATAAAAAGTCAGAATTGCGAGATATAAAGTCGCAATTGCGAGTTATAAAGTCAGAATTGCGAGATAAAAAGTCAGAATTGCGTGATATAAAGTCGCAATTGCGAGTTATAAAGTCAGAATTGCGAGACATAAAGTCAGAATTGCGTGATATAAAGTCGCAATTGCGAGTTATAAAGTCAGAATTGCATGATATAAAGTCAGAATTGTGAGATTTAAACTATTCTGATGGGGGAAAAAAAATTGGCCTAATAAGTCGCAATTGCGAGTTTATATCTCACAATTCTGAGAAAAGATGTCAGAATTTCGACATATAAACTCGCAATTATGTGTTATAAAGTCAGAATTGCGAGATGTAAACTCGCAATTGTGAGAAAAAAAGTCACACTTCTGTCTTTTTTTCTCAGAATTGCGACTTTAGATCACACAATTCTGACTTTATATCTCGCAATTCTGACTTTATATCTCGCAATTCTGACTTTATAACACACAATTCTGACTTTATAACTCGCAATTGCGACTTTATATCACGCAATTCTGAGAAATAAAGTCAGAATTGTGAGATATAAACTCGCAATTGTGAGAAAAAAAGTCAGAATTGTGAGAAAAAAAGTCAGAATTGTAAGATAAAAAGTCACAATTCTTTATTATATTTTTTATTCAATGGCGGAAACAAGCTTCCATAATGGAAGCTTGTTTCCGCCACTGAATAAAAAAATATAATAAATAATTGTGACTTTTTATCTTACAATTCTGACTTTATATCTCGCAATTCTGACTTTATATCTCGCAATTCTGACTTTATATCTCGCACTTGCGACTTTATATCACGCAATTCTGACTTTATATCTCGCAATTGCGACTTTATATCACGCAATTCTGACTTTATATCTCACAATTCTGACTTTCCATCTCGCAATTCTGAGAAATAATGTCAGAATTGCGAGAAGTAAACTCACAATTGTGAGAAAAAAAGTCGCAATTACCTTTTATATTTTTCATTCAATGGCGGAAACAAGCTTCCATAGAAGCGAAACGATCACTCATTTAATAAATAAATAACAAAGTTTAAGTTTTATAAGCTCAAATGGTCGCATTGCTCTGTACTGCGATGCACGTTCGTGACTCTCCTGTTCGAACTCGTGAACAAATCTTTTTCCGAGTCATTTGGTTCATTCAACGAACGAATTGACTCGGAAAAAGATTTGTTCATTCGTTCAAGATGTTCTTTGGGCCTGGAATTCAATATTAGATTGTCCTGAACTCTGAACCACAAAAAACTTCAGTGCATGTTTGCAGAGTAAAAGCATTTGTCAGCTTAAGCTCCATTACCTGCTTGAGCAAGCACATGATCTTGAGTATGAAAGGCGGAGAATGACTTGAGACAGCAAAAGGCAAGACAGGAATAACACTGTGAACTCTAATCCACCCGCTTAATGAAACTTGTCAAATCATAAGGATAAAGACAAAAGAGTATTATGTCCCCTTGAAACAACTAACAATTACTTTAATGAAACAATATCAGAGTCTGGTCGCTCTACCGCGGAGAT